GGGGGCGCAGCGCTGAGGGGCGGCCTGGGGACGGGCGGAGCTTGTCGGGGTGCTGCCAGGAACCGCGTGTTTGAGGAGCTCGGTCGGAATAAAGTCACCAGGAGGGCGGCGGGCTGCCGGCAGCGCTGACAGGGACTAGGCGAGTACCGGCATCTAGGTCTCGGGCTGTTGCTCGAGTGCTGGTAGATCATACTCGGAAGGTCGTGTTTCCACTCCCAGCTTTCCATTTTGATCACGTAGGAGTTTATAAAAAGAAAAGACGATAAAATTTTTCATGTTTGACGTTTCGGGCATCTGCAAAATTATATGAGGACTGTGTTGGGTTGGCCTACAGTAAAACACTGATCGCCACAAGCAGTCCCAACACTTTCGTACTTGCGTAGCGAGAAGCGCCTTGAGTTTGATTTCAAGGATACTGTGTCTTCTTCCTTTGAAAAGCTCTCCAGATTTGCTCAGATGACTGCTGACAATCGGCATCATGCAAATGCTGTCATGGTTCTGCCTGCACAGGATGGTCGTGAGGTGTTCCTGTGCCAAGGACATCTGAAAACTTCCACATACCGCATGTGCAGCTGAAATGTTTCATCCCCTCTTATATCCCAGTCACGAATGGTGGCAAAATTCAGCAAACTAGACCCATGGACAGGTAGGTCTATGTGGGAGAAGCATTTTTCATCAAGGTCTCTCCCAGCTGCTCTCTTTGTAACGACCTAAAGCAGCAGCCTTGTATTTTTGCTCTCAGTGCAATAGTTTGTGTAGGAAGGAACCTTTAAAAGCCATCTAGTCCAAACCCCTCTGCAGCAAGTAGGGACATCTTCACACGGATGGAGTTGCTCAGATCCCTGTCCAAACTGACCTTGAATGTTTCCAAGGATGGGACACCTACAACCCTTCTGGGCAATGGGTTTTGTCATTTTCTTCAACACCTAAGGAAGGAGTAAGTGAAATAATTTTCTTCTTCAGTGCAGAAGATAATATAATGTATGTATTTCCCATGTTAGAAAAAAGTAGCACTTAGATGTCTTTTGGTGAGATATTAGGGATGCTATTGATATAAGCAATCCATTTAAAGTTCCTTCCATCTTTTTTTGCAAGTACTGCTAAGGTGCAAAATGAATAAGGTTAGTACTAGACTCACATTAAAAGTAGTCAATTTTTTTTTTATTGGGGTCTTAATCTGATTCACCATCATTCTCCATCTCTTGCAGTACCCACAAAAAAAAAAAGGCCCACATCCCAAACCATAACAAAAATAAACCCATAGAATATAGGAGTCTAGATCAAATTTCAGGGACAGTCAGTGTTTCTGATCTTGATACTGCCTTTTGTATTTAGAGGTCCAGGGATGGATTTAAGGAGGGCAGCTTTATCAAATCAAGTCGTGAGGACGTTGTGGGTTTGGAGATGTTT